GGGGCGGGGTGGCCCGGCTCCTCTGGGGGAGCGGGGGCGCTGTGAGACTCGATGGTCTGTGTGCCCTGAACATCTGTGAGTGGGAGGTCTGGGCTCGGGGCCGCTCGTCGGCCGGCCAGACCTCATCTCCCCCCCACCCCGCCCCGCGCCCCCCGCGCTCGGAAGTCCCCTCCATGGACCCGCCTCCGGAAGGGGTTGAGGGGTCCTGATGAGGATGGGGGAAGCCCGTGCTGGGGCTGAGAGGGGTGTCTGATGGAAGGGCGGGGGCCCTTCCTCGCATCTTCCCCTCACCCCAGCCTCCCTTTGGCCAGTCCATTCTATTTGTGTGGCCCGCTGAGCAGTGACTGTCAGTCCGTGAGTGTGGGAGCAGGTCTGCCCCCCTGTGTGTTTCTGGGAGCGGGTACGTGTGTGAGCTTGTAGGAGAGAGTGTGTGTGTGCGGTGTTTCCCCTCCGTGTCTCTCAAGAGATAGGATCCGCCCTCTCCTTTGCCCTGGTTGTTCTTTTTCTTTTCCCCTCCAGATGTGCAGCTTCTGCACCCACCTGCACACACACAGCTGGGCCCTGTGCCTTTTGGGGATGGGGGGCACCGGCCACAACTTTGCCTGGATGAGAAGAGGTTCTTGGGTTTCCTGAATGGGCTGACCTTTGGAGGTGTGGGGCAAGAGTGGACCCAGAGAGGAGGATACCTCCCAGAAATAGGCTAACCAGGCCCTTGGGGCAGTAGGGACTGGAGTTGGGGCAATGCCTGGGGCCCCTGAGTGCAAATAGAAAGTTAATTTGGGCAGGACTGGGCTGCTCTTGAGTCCTGTTGCCCTCCTGCCCACTCTATTAATACAGATTCAGCTCTGCTGCATCACCTATTTATAGCCCAGAGGCAGCAAGGCCACACCCCCTCTGTGGAGGAGGCTGAGGGGTAGAAAAGAGGGCAGGGAAGTCTCAGCTATAGAAGCCAGGGCCGAGGGTCTTTGGGTGCCAGGTCCTGGCACGATGGGCTGGAATCCACTCAGACGCCCCACCTCAGTCCCAGAGTGGGTTGTGTGATCAGGCTCCCAATCCCTGCCCACCAAACCCCACCCCACCCCACCCCCATCAATCTAGGATTGAGTGGGTCTGTCTAGACCCTGCGAACTCATCATTAATTAGCTTGTTAAAGGGCTGAAAGGAGGGGGAGGGGCCAGCAGGGTTCTTTCTGAAACAGCTGTGGTTGTAATTAGGTGGAAGTGTGGTTGGCTATTATTTATTCCGGTTATGATTACTCTGGGATCAGCTCCTCTGATTGGCAGCTTGTCCGGGAAGGCTCCTCTCTCTCCTAACCATCCATCAGTCTTTAGAATTGTTGGTGCCCGCCCGCTTGGGAGGGCCTCTGGGTGTGCCAGAGCAGTGGGTGGTTTTGTCTACTCTGGTTATCTGTTATGGGCTGCTCAGCCTGCTAGCCCCTTCCCTACCGGCCACAGTGACACCTAAGGTCCCAGCAGTGGGCTCCTGAGCTTCTCAGTGGGGGTCTGCCATGGTATCCACGTGGCCTGGATGCCCCTTGCCCTTGTGGCTTGCCTGAGCTGAACTGTCTCAGCGTCCAGGAATGTAGACTTCCCTGCCAGTCTTAGCTCAGACTGGCATGAAGCTTGGGGGGTGCCAAGTGGCACCAGATTGGGTTGATAGGCTGGAGGCAGCGGCGTAGACAAAGTGGGAGGGTGGTTGTAGAGAGCACCAGGGCTCTGGCGTCTCCCAGCACAGCATCCTTTGCAGGAATCCTGTAGTGTGGCCAGGAGGAGGAGTGCTGTGAGCCAGGCTCAGGTGCCCGTGGGCACACCTGCAGCTGTGCACACTCTTGGTGCCCCTGGCTACATTTCTGGCTCCCATACACCCTCCCCTCTCCATGTAGTCACACTTACTGGGCAGGACTGGGCTTGTGGCTGCTGCCTGGGAATGTGCTTGGCTGAGGCAGGGCCCACTGGCCCTAGGCTTGGCTAGATTCCAGAGAAGACCAAGGAGCAGGAAGATGGCAGGCCAGAGGGCGCTTTGTCAGAGAGAAAGAGGGTGACGGCTCTCCCCAGGCCACACGATGATGAGGATGATAAGGAGTCGGAGCCAGGAAGCAAAATCTGGTTCCTCTCAGGGCATCTAACTGATTCATGGTTTTCCCCTGTCCCCTCTCTCAGAGCTTTTTTTGATCCTGGAAATTGCTGCCTCTCAAATTGACTTTTCCACCCAAGGGGCAGATAGATGGATCACTGGTAACAGGTTGAGGAGGGACATGGGTGTCTGTGTTCTCTGAAGAACCTCTGTTCACAAGACGCCGTCACATACGTTGTCTTTTTTTTTTAAGATTTTATTTATTTGAGAGAAAGAATGAGAGAGAGCGAGCATGAGACGGGGGAGGGTCAGAGGGAGAAGCAGACTCCCTGCTGAGCAGGGAGCCCGATGATGCGGGACTCCATCCTGGGACTCCATCCTGGGACTCCAGGATCATGACCTGAGCTGAAGGCAGTTGCTTAACCAACTGAGCCACCCAGGCGGCCACATACACTGTCTTATTAACTCTGCAAGGTTTGTGGTATTATCCTCAGTTCTCTACTGAGAGAACTGGACTCAGAGGGGAGGTGACTTCACCTGAATATCTCACCACAAGTAACAAGAGTTAGGACTAGGAGTCCAGTCTTGGGACTCACAAACCAGTGCTCTTTCCACTCTGCCCTGTCTCAAGGCAGGGTCAGGCAGGGTCAGGCGGGGTCCGTGTAGACCCCGAGTGCGGGGACCACGGCTCTTTGGAGCTCACTAGTGCTTTGGGGTGAGGGCTGCCTCAACCCTACCTACTCTTCTCAGCATTTGCTTTCTCTGTAGGCTGTATGTTGTGCCTGGGCCAGTCCACCTTCCTCCGCTTTAACCACCCAGCCGAAGCCAAGTGGATGAAGAGCATGATTCCGGCCGGGGGCCGGGCCCCAGGGCCCCCCTACAGTCCTGGCTCAGGTAGATGCCCAGTTGGGGCCGGCGGTTGGGTTGGTGGTCCTCCTGGATGGTCCTCCTCCCTGCCCATTCCAGTTATGCTTGCGGTGTCAGGGCAGGACATTACCCATGGTCTGGGCTTGCTGCCACCTGCCATTGGGCCACTGGTGGAGAATGCCAGGCAGTCTGGCTACTGGGAGAGATCCAAGAAGTGCTGCTTGGCTGGGATTGGGGAATCATGTGCCCCAGGGACAGGGGGCTCTGGCAGCCCCACTGTACTGGAAGATACCACCTCAGCATCTGGGACCCTAACCACTAGGTGCCTCTTGTGTCACCACCAGTGAACCTCACCCTTGACGGTGGCCTTAGGGGGCAGAAGGAGGCCTTAGGTCGAACCCCTGCAGGCGCTGGGGGGTCCCACCTGCTGGTGATTAGGTCCTTGGGCCCTGCCCCTCCCCCAGACTATGCCAGCCCGTTACTCAGTGGAATGGCTGCCTTTAGTGTGTGACTTGTTGAACCCCAGGGGAGAGTTGGTGGTTGTTGCAGGGAGCTGGCACCATGCCCCTCAACCCAGCTGCCTAGGGGGTGGGGGAGGGGGGAGACCGCGGGGCCGCCAGTGAGCCCCGCGCCCGAGACTCTGCGCATTCAAGAGGATGACAGGTGTCAGTGTGGTACTGGGACAGGTGGACGTGGACGTCAGGTGAGCCCCGCAGGAGCCTGGGTTCCCAGTCCACTCCCTGGCTGGCTTTACCCTGCTATCACCCTTGCCTCGTCACGCCACTCCCGCAGCTGTCTGGGGCGGTGGTTCTAGGGACTTCTGGCTGGTTGGCGAGGCCCGGGGCAGGGCCAAGGCAGGCTCTCGCTGGCGTGGCTCAGTGGGCTAACAATTGGAGGCACCAAGCTGCCGGCCGGCCTGGCTTCCGGGGGCTGCCCAGCTGTGCCGGGCCCTCCCCACCTCCGGCCGCACAGAATGGCGCGGGACACCCCTCTTGCCCAGCGCTGGAGGTTTGGTTTGTGTTTTTTTCCCGGGGTTCCGCTGCTGTGCTGGGAGGCCCTCATGTCCTATTAGACTGGACCCCCCCCAACCCTGAACTTCTGGCCAGCTCCACAGCATGCCCCCGGCCCCTTTACACAATGTCCATCTGCCCTTCCTGAACGAGAGGGATAGGAGATTGGGGAAACCAAGGCGGGGGGGGGCCTGTTCTTGGGGTGAGCCCAGGACCACTAGGCCTAGAAGCGGCTGGCACTGTTGGCAGCCCTGTCACAAGCCGGAAACGTCTGAGCCAGCAGAGAGCAGTGCCCATCCCCTTCCGTTATAGAAAGGAAGGCAACCGAGGGCAAGTGATTTAAGGTTGCCCAGCGGTTCAGTGGCAGAGAAGCACCCAGGTCACCTGGCTCTCCTAGCAGAGGCTAGGAGAAGGCCGGAGAGTGCCCTCATTCTTGTGCATCCATAGCTCCCCAGGGTTGAAGGCCAGGGCCTGAGACGTCTTTGCGTTTCCCACCAGCAGAGTCAGAAAGCCTGGTGAATGGCAACCACAGCCCACAGCCGGCAACCCGGGGACCCTCCGCCTGTGCCAGCCACAGTTCCCTGGTGAGCTCTATTGAGAAGGACCTGCAGGAAATCATGGATTCACTGGTGCTAGAGGAGCCTGGAGCTGCAGGCAAGAAGCCTGCCGTGACTTCCCCACTGTCGCCCATGGCTAATGGGGGGCGCTACTTGCTGTCCCCCCCAACCAGCCCTGGCGCCATGTCTGTGGGCTCCAGCTATGAGAACACGTCTCCAGCCTTCTCTCCACTCTCCTCACCAGCTAGCAGCGGAAGCTGTGCCAGCCACTCACCCAGCGGGCAGGAGCCAGCGCCTTCCATGCCCCCGCTGGTACCTGCCCGTTCCTCTAGCTACCATCTGGCCCTGCAGCCCCCACAGTCCCGACCGAGCGGTGCCCGCGCCTCTGAGAGCCCCCGCTTGGGCAGGAAAGGGGGTCATGAGAGGCCTCCCAGTCCTGGCCTCCGAGGTCTGCTGACAGACAGCCCTGCAGCCACTGTCTTGGCGGAGGCCTGCAGAGCCCCCGAGAGCCCCCGGCTGGGTGGACAGCTGCCCATGGTGGCTATCAGCCTGAGTGAGTACCCAGCTTCCGGGGCCCGAAGCCAACCCACCAGCATTCCTGGCAGCCCCAAGTTCCAGCCTCCAGTCCCTGCTCCCCGAAACAAGATTGGCACACTCCAGGACCGCCCTCCCAGCCCTTTCCGTGAGCTGCCGGGCACTGAGCGGCTGTTGACAACCAGCCCCTCACGCCAGCTGGTGGGCCGAACATTTTCCGATGGGCCAGCCGCCCGCACCCTGCAGCCTCCCGAGAGTCCCCGCCTGGGCCGGCGGGGCCTGGACAGTATGCGAGAACTCCCTCCGCTGAGCCCGGCTCTGTCCCGACGGGCGCTGTCCCCCATGCCCACCAGGACTGCTCCAGATCCCAAGCTCACCAGAGAGGTGGCAGAGAGTCCCCGGCCCCGGCGCTGGGCCGCCCATGGGGCCTCACCAGAGGACTTCTCACTGACCCTGGGGGCTCGGGGCCGGAGGACACGGAGCCCCTCACCCACACTTGGGGAGTCCCTGGCACCCCGCAAGGGCAGCTTCAGCGGCAGGCTGAGCCCAGCCTACAGTCTGGGCTCTCTGACTGGGGCTTCGCCCCGCCAGAGCCCCCGCGCCCAGAGGAAGCTGTCCAGTGGGGACTTGCGGGTGCCTGTCACTCGGGAGCGGAAAAATAGCATCACAGAGATCAGTGACAATGAGGACGACCTCCTGGAGTACCACCGGCGGCAGCGCCAAGAACGGCTCTGGGAGCAGGAGATGGAGAGGCTGGTGAGCGGATGCCAGGGAGGCCGCCACCGCCCATGGCGGGGTCCCTGCCAGGGTGTGGGCAGGCCGGCTGGCCGAGTGGGAGGGGCCCTTGGAAGGGCCTGGGCTTCTCCAGCTTTTCTACCTGCAGGAGGCACCTTAGTGACCTGTACCTCAGGGGTCTGGTGCCCTGAAGAACTTTGCTTGGAATCTCAAAGGCTTTATTTTAAGTTCATGTTAATCTTGCTTTTCTTCTATAACACGGCATTTGTTTTAATGTATAAGTTAAATTTCGCGGTATTTACCTGAATATAACAAAGCTCTAGGAAAACGTACCACGTTTCTGCTGAGGCCTGGCACCTCTCAGCTGGAGAAGCGGGTCTTCCTGATGAGGAGGCTGAGGCCCAGAGAGGGTGGGTGTGTCCGAGCTGGGGCAGGGCTGGAATTGGAATCTCCTGTCTTTCCAGGGCTCCTTTCTTAGAAGAGCCCATTGTTCTTTAGAAAAGTTCCTTCTTTCTTTCTTCTTTTTGGTCTTTTGCAAATGTGTAGGAGCTGCTCACCCTGGCCCAGGCAGGATCATCTGGGAAGGTGGGTGGCAGGGAAGGGCCGCCCCTGGCCTGACCCTGGGCGGGACCGTCCGATTGTGATTGTGTGCATCGGCGTGCATGCACACACATGTGGGGCTGCATTTGGGGGCCGGGTGTGGCTCTGGGCAGCTGTCCTAGGGACAGCATCTGAGTTGGGCGGGGGCCAGGATTCCCCGGATAGCGCAGGGAGATCATGGGGGGTCTGGCTGGTGTGTAGACACTCAAGCACACGGACAGGAGAATGGATTGTGAGCAGTGCGGGGTTGCTGGGGGGCCCAGGGACCATGGGATTGGCTTGAGGAGGAGAACCAGAAATGAGGTTTGTTTGGAGAGCTTTTCAGAAGAGGTTGGGACAGCTTTGGGTGAGGTTGGAGGGTGCCGGCCAGTGTGTTTGTGTCGCGGGTTGGGGGAGAGATGAGGCAGGATCCCCAGTGTTTTCTGTTGCTACATCTTTTCACTGTTGTTGCCTTGGCCTCGAGGACCGTGCTTGGACCACCCTGGGGGCTCATCCTGGGTAGGGAGCAGTGAATCTGGTGGAGGCAGAGTGACAGGCCCAGGCTCCCCACCCCCAGGCACAAGTACACACCTCACCACCAGCCCTGACCTGCCCCACCTGCCACTTTAAATCTTGGAGGCTACCTGCCCTGCCCCTCCCACCTCTGGCAGGCTGCTTATCTGGGTCCTAGGGCAGGGGCGGGGGCACTGGCCCAGCCTCCTGGGTGCCAGAGGCTCTGTTCCTGGTTTTGTTTTTGACATGGAACTGGGCAGGCAGCAGGAAGGAAGCTGGGTATGTGTCTGGGGTCACGGCCACACTGCAGTGAGAGACACCTGAGGTTGAGGTCCCCTGCAGAGCCATGGGTGCCTGGGAGCGGGGAGGGGGGGAGCTTCAAGGCTAGAGTGCTGTGGATGAGAGAGGGGCCACAGATGGGGAGCATGACTGCACCGTCCCTCCTTCACTTCATGGGCCCCTGAGAGGTATCTGGCTGGGGCTGTTTATGGGGATGGATGAAGTGGCAGTCCCTTGGAGCACTCACAACTGGGCCTGGGCGTTCAAGGGCAGGCAGTGGCTCACCTGGCTGGGAAGACACGGGGGGAGGGGGCTGCCTGAGAGCACCTTGGAGCTGGGGCCAGCATGAGGACGACCGTGTCCCAGGCCTGTCTGGCCTGGTGTACACAGGCCGAGCGCAGCTTTGCGGGAACCTGGGATCCCTAGCTGCGTGTGGGTCTGGTTTCCAGCCCGGTCTAGGTCAGTGCCCACCTGTCTGCATGCTAGGCTGTGTTTATCTGTGTGTGTGCTGGCGTGTGTCCGTGCATGCCAGAACCTGCTTGTTAATGTAAGCACAGCACATATGTTGTGTCCTCATGGGTCAGGACTCGTGTGTGTGGGGTGGGGGGTGGGGGTCCTGTGTACCCTTGTGTCTGTAGATCTCTGTGGGTCCGAGTCAGCATGAGCACCCGAGTGTTTATCAGTGTCTCGTTGTGGTCTTTAGCCTGCTCACCAGTTTGTGTCGCTGGGTGTCCACAAGGAAGCCCCCTTGGGGACAGAACGAAAGGGGAAAGGAAACTGGGAGATGGGAGGGGCTAGCCATGTGGGCAGGTGGCACAGTGGCTTTGGTTCGTCCTGCTTACTCCTGGGACACCCTCCTTCCCTTTGCTTCTGCAGGCCTTGGGTTTGGGGCTCTCCTGACTTCCTTCTGAGCTCCGAGTACCTGGTGTCGTAGCTCTCTGTCCTGGTAGCACGCCGCGCCTGGCTCCAGGTCTGCTGGGACCCGGCCTCCCTCGCCCACTCTCATGCGCTGCTCTGTGCACCCTCCCCAGGAACGCCAGCGCCTGGAGACCATTCTGAACCTGTGTGCTGAGTACAGCCGGGCCGACGGGGGGCCCGAGGCCGGGGAGCTGCCCAGCATTGGGGAGGCCACCGCAGCCTTGGCACTGGCAGCCCGGAGGCCCTCACGGGGCCTTTCAGGCGCCGCTGGGGCCTCTGGGCGGAGCGCTGAGGAGCCTGGAGGTGCCCCCCAGCGCCTGTGGGAGTGCGTGGACCGCTCAGACGAGGAGAACCTCAAGGAGGAGTGCAGCAGCACTGAGAGCACCCAGCAGGAGGTGGGGCGGGGTGGGGGGTGCCTGGTGAGAGGGGCTGGGGGGCAGAGGAGGCCAGTGTGGCAGGGGCCGAGGTCCAGGGAGGGGGAGGTCACCGAAGGGGCAGGTTTGGGAAGAGACTGGGGATGAGAGGTGTTGATGCGGTCCCCAGGCTATGGATATGCTTTCTTTCTTTTTTTTTTTTTTAAAGATTTATTTATTTATTTATTTATTTATTTGAGAGAGAGAATGAGATAGAACATGAGAGGGGGTAGAGTCAGAGGGAGAAGCAGACTCCCTGCTGAACAGGGAGCCCGATGCGGGACTCGATCCCGGGACTCCAGGATCATGACCTGAGCCGAAAGCAGTCGCCCAACCAACTGAGCCACTCAGGCACCCCTTTTTTTTTTTTTTTTTAAGATTTTATTTATTTGAGAGAGAGCGAATGAGAGAGAGCATGAGAGGGAAGAGGGTCAGAGGGAGAAGCAGACTCCCCGCTGAGCAGGGAGCCCGATGTGGGACTCGATCCCGGGACTCCAGGATCATGACCTGAGCCGAAGGCAGTCGCCTAACCAACTGAGCCACCCAGGCGCCCTGGATACGCTTTCTGCCCGGCCTTGCCGTGGGGCCTCCTCCGGGCCTGGCGCTCAGGGGTGAACTGCCATTGCCTTTGGTTGAGCTGGTTTTGCTTCCCTTGCGGGGAGGGGAGTTGGCCTCCTCTCTCCGTCTAGCTACCCCTTCCAAGTGCCTTGAGGAATGGGGGCTCCATTCTCTGAGTCTGATCATGGAAGGCTCCAGGCGCCCCCAGCTGATGGCTTCTCTCCCCCTGCAGCATGAAGATGCACCTGGCGCCAAGCTCCAGGCCGAGGTGCTGGCCCTGGAAGAGGAACGGGCTCAGGTGCTGGGGCGCGTGGAGCAGCTCAAGGTCCGCGTGAAGGAGCTGGAACAGCAGCTGCAGGAGTCGGCCCGGGAGGTGAGCCATGGGGGCCCTGGCTGCACTCTTCCCCCCACCGAGGCAAGGCCTCTGGAGCGGCCTGAGTCCATCTGCCTTCACTGGCCCTCCTGTGGCCCTGGTGTCGCCCCCAGGCTGAAATGGAGCGGGCGTTGCTGCAGGGGGAGAGGGAGGCAGAGCGGGTGCTACTGCAGAAGGAGCAGAAGGCAATGGACCAGCTGCAGGAGAAGTTGGTGACCTTGGAGACCGGCATCCAGAAGGAGAGGGACAAGGTAACACACAGCTGGCCTGGCCCAGGCTGGCTACCGGTGGCCTGGGGGAGGGGCAGTGCCTCCTCTAGGCCTCTCACCCCTTCCCTCGTCAGCCATCCTTCAGACCCGGCGGTCCCTGTGTCGCCCAGGGGCAGGGGGCCTTGTCCTCTGTGGAAGGTACCAGCTTGAAGGGCACTGTCAGGGGCTGGGCTAGGGTCTGGGGTCTCCTCTGTCTGGGTCTCTGTGCTACCTCTGGGTGCCAGCCATTCCCGGTCCTTCGTGGCCCTTCTAGGCAGTGCCAAAACCACTTCTTGGGCAGTGAGCACAGCCTGAGGGACTGGGGAAGTGGGGAAGTGGTTCGGGATTGGGTCCCTCCATCGAGAGAATGTCTCCTGCCCGGCATGCCTCGGGTGCTCAGGATGTGATCTCTGGGAGACGGCCCTCACGTCTCTGCTTCCCCTGAGCCTTCAGGATCTGCAGCCTCCCATCCCAGGTGGTCCCAGCTTCTGCCCCCGCCCCTTTCAGATCCCGTGCCAGCCTGCAGGGGGCGCTCCGTCCCACAGGAGCTGTGCCCGCCAGGCCCGAGATGCCCAACAACGTGCCAGAAGCTCTGGAGTGTGGAGCGGGGCCACCTCTTTCTGGACTTGACAGTATTTTTTCCAAGAATTAAATTTCCTTCTGAATTTTTTGAGAGCGTCTTCCTCCTGTCCCAATTTTGAGAGTCTTAAAAATTCTTTGACATCCCCGCAATTTTTTTTTTTTTTTTTTGGAGCTTTGGCTCTGGCCCCCAAAACCACACTCCCAAATTCTGTGCCAAATTAACTCCACGCTTACCAACCAGGCCTGCACTAATGCCCCCTCTAATCACTGTCCTGGGCTCTCCGCATGCCCCTAACTGCCAGTGCCACCCAGGCAGGGCTGAGCCACGCCTGCTTTTGTACTAACTCCAGGGGCAACCGCCGTGCCCTTGACCTCTCCCTGTCTAATTCTGCCTCCTTCCTTTCTTGGTGTGGGACCCCAGGGTTTTGATCAGAAAGGAATGGACACAGCTCAACTTTACTCAATGGTGCATTGGCAGGAGGGGTAAAGGTTGGGGGAAATGCCTAGCCGGGGAGCTTCTCAGCCTGAAGAGCGCCCCCCATTTGGAAGAGTCCTGGGTGCTACCTCCATACAGCAGGGAGAAGCCGGCTGTCCTCTAGCCATCTGCCTCCCTTCCCTCTCTTGCGTTCGGAGCTGAGGGGTCTGGAGGTGCCGCTGGGGTGGCATGGCCTGGGGAGGGTTTGGACGGGTTCTCTCTGCCACACTGTGGCTGCCCTTCCCAGGTTCCGCCCTGGGGTTTCCCAAGCTCAAATACCCCAGCTGGAGGGTGGGAATGAGTAGGCCTCTTCCCTTCTCCCACCCCTGAGCCATCGGGAACGTAGGGTGTCGTAAAGGCTGAGTCCAACGAGGGGGAGGTTCTTGGACCCCAGGAACTGGCCTGATTGGGTCCTCCTCTCCCTGGATGGGGGAGAGTGGGTCGGGGGAGGACGGGGCAGGATTCCGCATAGGGACTTACTTCAAGTAAGCTCAGCATTTCAGAGGGAAGCTGCCTAACTTCCTTTCTCACTGACCTGGCATCGCCGGGAAGTCAGGACTGTGCCTTCTCTCTGAGCCCAGTTATTTGAGGTGGTGGTGGGGGGTGGGGGTGGTGGCTGTGGGGAAGGTTCACTCGGCTTTCCTCCCCAGCCCACAGCCCCACTCTGGTTTTGGAATCAGTAATCATAGTTTCTCCTCTGCCTGTCCTTCGGAGGGGTGACTCACCAGCTCCTCCCCTCGTCCCCCTTCCCGCCCTCAGAGGTGTCATCTCGCCCCAGACAGAGCTATCCACCTCCTCTCTGTACCCACTCCTGGGGCTCCTGTTGCCACGGCAACGGCCAAACTAATTGCAACCCTCTTCTGCTGGAGTTCAGCCTGCAGCACCAGCCCCCCACCTCCACGCCGGGCGGGAGGGAGGGAGGCCCCGGGAGTCGGGCTGGGGTCCCGCTGCTGCACTGACTGCCCGGAGCTTTAACATCTCCAGCTTTGAGTCACTCCCAGCCCCTGCACTTAACCCTCGCCGGCTCTACCCTTTGCCCCAGGGTGAAATGTTGGTCTCTAGGCGGTGGAAGAGGGGGAGAAGCAGAGGCCAGAGGCTGGGCGTCTGTGATGGGGAAGCAGCTTCGGCCTTGATGGGTTTGGAGAGAAGACAGAGGGATTTTCTTAGGACCTCCCCAAACAGTTTCTAGTCCAGGGGACTCCAAGAGACCAAAATTTCTGCCCGAGAGCCGCCCGTCTGGCTGTCGGACACGGCCCCCTGCACCTGCGAGTGTCCTGCGCCTCTCCCGCTCTTCACCCCTCCCACACGCCTTCCCCCCTCTCTTCCTCTCTCCTCTGCCGCTTATCCTCCTCTGTTCGTCCTCGGCTTCCTCCCCCCACCGCCCTGCCGCTCCCCGGCTCTGGCTCTTTCCCTCCCTGGCCGCCCCCCCCATGGCTGCCGCTGCCCGCGGGCCAGAGTTGAGGAGTGTGTGTTCTGTTTCTCCCCTGTGCCCGCCCTCCCCCCCCCTCCCGCCGACCAGGAGAGGGCGGAGCTGGCCACGGGACGGAGGCACCTGGAGGCCCGCCAGGCGCTCTACGCCGAGCTCCAGACGCAGCTCGATAACTGCCCCGAGTCAGTGCGGGAACAGTTACAGGAGCAGCTGAGAAGGGTCAGTTTCACCAGCCCCCCTCCCCTGGCCCCCGAGGGCCACCCACCCAGAGGAGAGGAGAGCGGCGGGACGGGACCACCTGGGCCCTGCAGTACCTGCCGGACACCAGGGTCGGTGCTGTGGCTTGGAGGGGACCGGGAAGGATGGGGGGAGTGCTTTTCTCCTTTCTGCTACTCCAGGCACTGATGCCCCGCGCAAGGGGCAAAGCCAAGCAGAGGAAAGGGGGTTGGGCGGGGGCAGGTCCCTTCCCTGATTTCCCTGGGGCCAGCCCTCAGAACTCCCCTGCCTCCCTCTGTGGCCTGGTCTTCCAGGCCCGGAGTGGTACCGAGCACCACCTGACCCCCTCTGTCACTGTCGTTCAAGGAGGCCGAGGCCCTGGAGACGGAGACAAAGCTGTTTGAGGACTTGGAGTTCCAGCAGCTGGAGCGGGAGAGCCGCGTGGAGGAGGAGCGGGAGCTGACCGGCCAGGGGCTGCTCCGGAGCAAGGCTGAGCTACTCCGCAGCATCACCAAGAGGAAGGTGCGTGCCGCCCCATCCCCTGCCCAGAGCCAGAGGGGAGGTTGGAGGCCAATGAGTTGGATCCCAGCTGATGACCCCCTAAAAGCTAACTTTACCTTTCTGAGCCTCAGTTTCCCTCTCTGCAAACCAAGAACAGGCTGTGGAGAGAATGAAGCAGGACGGTGTGTGTGAGGACAGCATGGGTCCCGAGGGTAGTCTGAGGGCGCTGGGCGGACGGCAGGGGCTGTTGGTGAGTGCGGGCTCCCAGCGGAGAGTGGACGGGGCTCCCGTTCGGAGCCGGCCCTGGTGGGCAGAGAAATGAAAGGTGGAGATGGGGGAGGAGGAGGCTGGGGGGAGGCTTGCTGCTCTTGTAGATCTGTCTGTCTGGTGGACGTGCTGAGAAACATACAAGGTGCTGAGGTCTGGATATCGAGCCAACCGGTGGTCCTAGAAAGGCATCCCCTAGGCTCCAGCTGTGGCTCAGCCTTAGCTGAGCCAGAAAACAAGGGGATTGTGTATGGTATCCTCACCGGTTCTGGAGCTCCAGATGCAGTGATCCTCTGCTCCTGATCTCGACCAGCCCAGGATAGGGTGTGTGTGTGTATGTGAAGGTGGGGGGTACGTTTGGGAGGAGGCTTGTGTTAAGTCGGGGAGGAGAAGGGGGAGGATGGTCCAGCAGCTCACGTGCCTGAGACGGCTGGAGTGAGTGGGTGGGAGGTGAGGGCAGTGAGATCAGGGGAGGGGTGTTGAAAAGTGGTGGCTGGGGTCTCGAGGGCTAGCCTGAGTCTGGTGGTATGTGGGGAGCTGCTGGCCCTCCCCCTGCGTCTGGATCCCTTGCCCCTCTCCCTCAGTTTCTCTGCCTTACAAATGCATCCGCTTCCAGATGTGAGACAGGTGGAAGGAAGGAAGCACGCTAGCATTGCCCAAGCACGTGGGTGTGTGCCAGGAGGCTTTCTTGGGTTATCTTATGCCAACCTTACAATGCTCTCACAGGCCAGTGCTCTTATCCTCATTTTATAGACAAGGAAACGAGGGCTCAGAGAAGCTACATATCTGCCCCACACCTCTCAGCTTACAAGCTTCAGAGTCAGCACTGGACCCCAAGCCCGCCTGGCCCCAAAGTATCTGTTCCTTATGCTGTACTGCCCTGGGGCCAGAGGCTGGCACTTCTCCAGCCTCTTCCTCTTCCCTTTGGAGAGGATGCAGCCGGGAGCCCTAGATCAGCTCATCCCATCCCTTTGAGGTCCTGGTGGGTGTAAGCTCCGGGGAGTTTGGGAGGGGTCAGTAGGATTGGACTCCTGTTCTCTCCTCCCCATGCCCACCCTGGCTCCTGCTCAGCCTCCCCTCCTCCCTCAGCTCCCAGTGTCCCACCCGTGCCAGGCTGCATCTGCCCTGGTGTCTGGTGCTCCCGTCTCCACTGCGATCCAGAGTGGTTCAGAGTACTGGTTTTGGAGTCCCAACAGATTTGGTTCTAATCCCAGCTCTAGCACTCATTAGCTCCTAAATATGTCAGTTTTTTTATTAAGATTTTATTTATTTCTTTATTTGAGAAAGAGTGTGGGTGCGTGTGCGCTCACGTGAGGGGAGGGGCAAAGGGAGAGGGAGAAGCAGACTCCCCGCTGAGCAGGGAACCTCACATGGGGCTTGATCCCAGGACCCTGCGATCATGACCTGAGCCGAAGGCAGATGCTTAACCAACTGAGCCACCCAGGCGCCCTATGTCAGTGTTCTTATCTGTAAAATGGGCATAAAGGCACCTGCCTCAAAAGAGGATTAAATGAGGTAACAAATGCAAAGCATTTAGCGCAGTTCTTGAGTACTAACAGGTTCTCAATAAACAGCAGATTTTGCTGTGGGGATTACCCCTTGGGCTGACCCCAGATCTAGGACAGCTCCCTTCTTCCCTCCCTCCTTGCTCACGTCTTACTCTCTTAAAGGTGGTGGTTTAAGGCCGCTTCTTTCAGGAAGCCCTCCTGGGATTAACCCAGCCCATTTTTCCTCCCATCCCCCATTCTTCTCTCTCACGTTATTCTCTTTTCATTTCCTTTTAGCACATGGTTGTTGAGCCAGGCACTGTGCTAAGCTCTACTGGGGAAATGGAGGCAGAATCTAAGACACTGACCCTGCCCTTGGATGGGACAGCCCGGGCTGGGTGGTGATGGAGACACATGTTCACAAGTACCAGTAGTATGCGGCAGAGGGCGCTACAGAGTCATCTGAGCACAGAGGGAGGAGCAGAGAAATGAGTGGTGATTGAGGAAGGTGTTGGGAGAAAAGGTAGCGCTCCGTCAGGTCTTGGAGGATAAGTGAGCCCTCGGTGGTGGAAGGTCGGGGCCGCTCTCCCCGGCTAAGGGGGGCGGTGTTAGAAAGGCCTGAGAGCATGCAGCTTCGCAGCTTGCTGTACCCCGCGGCCAGGCTCCGGGGACTGGGTGGAGGCCCCGTTCCGGGAGCCCTCGAATGCCGGCCTCAGAGTCCCTGCTCTGGCCTGTGAGTAGTGGGGAGTCACTCAAAGATTTTGAGGAGAGGAGTCATCTAACCTTACTGGTGAATTTTTAAAAAATTAATCAAGTAATGTGTATATATTTTTGGAAGGGTTTGAAAATTCAGATAAGCAAACAAAAACAAACCTCCAAGGCCATTTTAAGAAGGTATCTGTGGCAGTGTGGAGCCCACCAGACAGTCGAGAGAGTGGGAGCGGGAGGCTGGTGAGGAGGTCCCGGCCGGGAAGGCAGCAGACTTGGGGGGGGCGGGGCAGGTGGGGAACTCTTCACTGCGCCCCCGGTTCTGGACTCGCTGACGGCAGGGCACAGGAGTTGCTGGTTGAGGGAGGGCTGAGGGGAGGAGCTGACCGTAGTTGCCTGTTTTCCCCGGGGTGAGTGGAAGCCAAGCAGAAGGGCTGGTTGATGCCTTCCGCCCAAGCCACGGGTCTCCCCGTGGGCTCCGCCCTGTTGTCTCCCAGGCCTGACCGACTGGCCCCCCTCTCCTCCAGGAGCGCCTGGCAATCCTGGACAGCCAGGCAGGGCAGATCCGGGCCCAGGCTGTGCAAGAGTCGGAGCGCCTGGCAAGGGACAAGAATGCTTCCCTGCAGCTGCTGCAGAAGGTAGCCCAGGCGGGGTGGGCTGGGGCGCGATGGTGGGAGACGTGTGTGGAGGCCAGGTGGGACCCCCTTCCCTTGGTCTTCCCCCGTGCCGACTCGGCCCCTTGGGGCTTGCAGGAGAAGGAGAGACTGACTGTGCTGGAGGGGAGATACCACTCACTCACAGGAGGCCGGCCCTTCCCGAAGACCACATCCACCCTCAGAGAGGTAACGAACGTGCTGGGCTCGGCCCTAGCTTCAGGCCCAGTGGGTCTCTCGGGAGGCTCTGGAGCCACATGGGGCACCTTCGCCGCTGAGGTTGAGTATGGGGACATCTTCCCGAACTGGAGAGGTCTGAGTAGGAATGGCCCTGACGTCTGGGATTTGAGCCTCTGTGGCCACCAGCTGCTGCTTTTCAGATACCTTTCTGACTTGGAGGAGCTTACTGATGCTGCCATTTTGGGTATTTAAATACATCTGGGGGATTCAGGACGCATGAGTGGGGAGGACAGACAGCTCGGAGGTTTGGTAAGGGCTAGGGCTGGGTAGACTCCCCTTGAGGGGGAGCACAGGAATTTAGGGGTCCTGAGCTTGGAGCTCCTTGGGCTTCAGTCTAGACTGAGGCTCTTGGCTGAGAAGTGGGCTCTGACGTCCCTTAAGGCATTCTTTCCTGAGTCTTTGCATGCCTGGGGTGTAAGGTCCAACCAGGATGTGCCCCAGTTCCCAAGCTCTTTACCTGCCTCACTGCACAAGCAACTGAGGCCCGGGGCGGGGTGGCTGGGCTGCGTGAGGGGAGAGGCCCCTCACCATGTACCCTCTCTGTAGGCTGAACTGCTCATCTCCGAGTCCTCAGAGATGGGGCTGGGATCTGCGACTCTGGTCCCTTTCCCAGGGTCTTCTGAGTCTGGGGCCTCCTCTGTCCCCCTAACCCCACCTGCTTCCACTCAGCTCAGCCCCAAAGCACAAGAGGTAATCACAGCTGCCTGCCCTGCTGTGCCCACTGCCTGCCTGCTTGCTGAGCTCCCGCCTACAGCTTCCCCACAGGCCCAGCTGAAGGGCATGTGGCCATCACCCTTTGGCCAGAGTTTGTGAGAGTGTGAGTGTGTGTGCCATCCTGCTGTTCCCGAGAGGGCCTGCGCAGCCCGTGCAAAACCAGAGCACCGATTTGCATATTAATTTGCACATGTTCTGCATGCCATTCATCAGTTCTCACAACCCACTGGATCCTCTAGCTCACTTTCCTTTTCCCTGACCCCTGGAGGACAGTTGCCCTCTGGAGCTAGGCCAGGCTGGGGCTCCCTCTGGATAGGGGAGGCTTAGGCTCTTGTGTCCTCAGCAGCATTCTGGATGCCTGCCATGCCTGGGCCACCTAGATAAGCTCAGGGGTCTAAGGATATGCTCAGGGACTATGCCAGGCCCTGTCCTCCCACCCCACAAGCCAGTGTGCTGGTATCCCTCTCCAAGTACTAACCCATGGGCATGGGGCCCATTTTTCTACTTGGGCTTTGAGCTGTTCCCTGCTAAGGTCTCTCTCTCAAAGCCCGTCTAGCTCACCCCCTAGGGTGTTTCCATCCCACCCCTTCCAGCTCCTGCCCCAGCAGATGGGGTGCGAGGAGATGCTCGAGAATGGTGGCTGGTACTCCATGGATGCATGTGTGTGTGCCCCACTGGGGATGCCCAAGGTGTCGGAGACAGAAGGGTTGTCTGGGAGCCGGGTCCTGATCCTCAGTGGACTCTTGGAAGGCCTTCCCTTGGCTTCTCCTGTCCCCAGCCCAGAACAAACCCATGGGTGGGCCTTGAGGGTCTGCCTGGATGATGGCAAGGCAGCTTCAAAAGGGAGAGGTCAAGAAGAGCCTTCAGACAGTTCTGCCTGCCCTTTTCTGGTCCCCCCCCTCCAACAGCTGTCTCCGGCCATGGTGGGCAGCTGAGCTCCCCACCCCTGCTCTGGGTCTTGTATTGAATGGAGTGCTGGCCCTAAGGCATGGAGTTTGGGTGTTGGGTACCTGGTTGTACCCTGTTAACCTCCTTTCTGCCCATCCCTCCCCCTCCCACTGGGCACCCTAGGAGTATGTGAGCCTGGCAGAGGTTCTCCAGCTGTGCTTCCGCTTGGACCCCCATGCTTCTGCCACCTCCCCCAGCGTGCTCGCCCAGCCCCTGCCTGACAGTGAGGTACCAGCCACGGAGGGAGCCCACCTGGGCCCCCCTGTGGGTGCCCAGATGGTGCCTCAGGCCCGGGTGGGGCTTGGGGGACAACAGGGTCTGTCTTCAGTGGTGAGGGAGAAGAGCAGCGGGCATAAGGGGGGTGGGGACTGGCTTCTTCTCTTCTTGGGGGCCTCGGGAGCTTCAGCTCCTGACGGCTCAGCAAGGGGCAGGCCTTCTGCTGTGGCGCCAGGGCGTCCTACTGAGAGGACTCGCCTTCCCGGGCTATGCAAGGCTCTGCTGCTCTTCGCTTCCTAGGATTACCCTTCCCTTGCCCATGGGCAGGGCCATCTCTTGGGTCGCAGTTCCATTAACCTCTTGTATTCCCTCCTGCATCCTGGCCTCCCCCCAAGTACGTGACGCTTGAGCAGCTAAAGGCGATGTGGGGCACCTCGCCCGTGCCCACAGCCCCTGCGCCAGGCCTGCCTTTCTGGGCCTCTGCCTCCCGGCACCTGGTTCCCACCACCTGCCTTCCTCCCGTGCTGCCCTCTTCCTCCTCCTCTGCTTCTCTCACGCCTTCACCCAAGGTTGGTGGTCTGTGTGTTCCTACCACCCCCAGCCCACGGCGGGTGTGGCCGTGCGCGTGCGCGTGCGTGCGTGTGTGTGCGCGCGCCGCCCCGGCTTCCCAGCTTCGGAGCTCCAGGCCGGCCCGGGAGTGCTGCGGGCGCTGGCCGGCCGGCCTCGGGGCTGGCAGAGCACGAGTCTCCAGTCTGGGAGTTGTGTCTTGACTGTTCCTCTTTGCGCTCCGCGTGTTCGCAGCAACTGTTCTCTCACTGTTTTTCTCCTCCTTCTCTCTGTGCTGTCCTTTCTCCCTTCCCCCTCACCTTCCTGCTTCC